TCTGTTCGAGAAGTTGTCTTTGCGCAGCTACTGACTGATTTTGTGCATTGATTTTTTCGAGTCGGGCTTGTAGGCGCGCGATAAGTTGTGAATCATCTCCATATTTTTTTCTCAATAGGTCGATAGCTGAATCATAGTTATCTTCTGTAACGGGATAGCGCCTAATTGCTTCCAATGCTTCTCCTCGAAGCGCGCTCAGTAAATAATTGAACTTTTGCAGTTTCGTTAAGGGTTGTTGATGTACATTGGCCTCAAAAAGGGTCCAAAAGTTGCTAAACTCCCAAGGTCTCCCCGAGAAGTTAGGTATGGGTATTGCAGGTAGCTTCGGTCTCTCAATGTTTGCGTTTCTTATCCCGTTAAAACTATCATTAGTTCTGTTATGAGAAGTTTGCGCACACAATGTTATGGCTTCTAACTGCATTGCTATACTTTGCGCACGATCAAGCACCCCATGCGCGGTTTCTATATAATCATGAGTGTGCTTTTCTTGTTCTTCCTCTAATGGTTCGCTAATGTTATCCACCATTATTGTAAATCTCGATAGATTATCTGCGACCATTTTGGAAGTTTCTTTCAGTTCGAAAACCAAACATTGCGCATATTCAGATTTTCGAAGTCATAAAAAGCTGATCGTTCTTGTTGTGGTGTACTTTCCCCTTTGGAGATGATTTTGCCAAGATTATTACAATATCGCGTAAGAAGCGCCTTTTGTGATTTCAATGACATAGGTCCCGACATGTTTAGAGTAGCGCAAAGTTCCAATGTTGAAATACTTGAATTTTCAAATTTGATGATCAATTGACAGAGATTATAGAATAGCGATACTGGAAGATTTCAACTGAGGAATACTTTTGATTTGTGCCGACTTCCAAAATTGGTGTTCAATTGAGGAGTTATGAAGTGACTGATGAATCAATATCAAGTGCGCAATATTCAAGATATGATCAAATGCGCAATATTTGGGATATAAGCCTTTTGAAAATTTGTAGAAAGCGCAAAATTCCAAAATCCAATCTTTCAATGAGAATTTTAGAAGTTGTAGAGAGCGTAAAATTCCGAAATCCAACTTTCAATGAGAATTGATATAGGGGCCTGCAGGATCGCGAGAGTCGGACGTGCGTACGGCCATTGCGCCGCGCACGTCCGATGTCACTAAGGCAAGTGCCAGACTTATCCACTTCAGCCGTTCGTTCCGTTCATAGGTCAAATCACTACACTGTCCAACAGCAAAGGTGGTGAACCGAATGAACCTGTTCAACAGGATAAGTCTGGCACTTACCTGGGCCGTCGCACGCAGTTCTGACGTGCGCGGCGCAATGGCCGTACGCACGTCCGACTCTCGCGATCCTGCAGGCCCCTATATCAGTAAGTCGTACCGCGGTCCTATCGTTGAAGTCGTCGATGCACCATAAATTGAAACCAATACTGCTCGATTTGCCACGCGGATTTACACCACAACAACCACCAGGGCGCAAACATTTACCTACTCAAACTTGGGTAATTAATCCCTTGTCGGGTTACAAATACACGACGAGCGAAGCGAAACGAAGCAAAAATTACAATGTCAAATAAACTCAATAATGCACAAAATAATCACGACATTGCGCAATCTACAATCCCTACAAGCTATCCTAGCGCCGAGAACTGGTGCGCATCTTGAGGCTTAAAAACGCAGAAAAGAGGAGAGAAGGAATGTAAAAACGACTAATGTGCGCAGACGCGGAGAAAGCACTGATGATTTGCGCGATTTGCCCTAGCCTTTTGCCTTCCGCTAAAACAACATTACAACAGAGCATGTTCTCAAAACAATCTTATCACTGTATCACCGATCCATGCATGGAATGTGTGATCGCGACGATAGTATTACTGCTGTGCGCTTGTCCGTTCGCACAAAAATCGGACGATTTACCTACCGCTTTCGGCTAAGCGGAATCAACATTTTCAGCTTTTTCCGCCGCATCCTTCCGATTGAATCGCCATCGTCTATTTTTGACTCCATTTGTGAAGGCAATGACAAGGCGCATAATTACACTTTCAGATAAGAAGAGCAACGGAATTCAAGACTTTGATCATCTTTCTTTCTTAAACACTACAAAAACTGAATATTGTCACGATATTGTTTCCGAATTTTGGTGATGATGGGATTGTGAACGAGCCATTTGATAATGGAGCACAGTAGCTAGCCTGCAAAAAATATTGTTAGTACAACCAAAATGCAAAGTGATAACAAGCTTTACTCCAAATTTTACAAGATAGGTGAGTTTAGCTGCAGAAAAGCGGATGAAAAAAAGGTGTAGAATATCTGCTTTTATTACAGTATTTTGTGGCCCAATTGTCCTCAAAGTAAGAATAAAATTTAAAATGTAAAAATTCAAAAAAACCAATTCAAACCCCAAAATTCGTCTTAAACTGTTATCTGTGATGGCTGTTTGAAAATTTCTCATTCGGTTATATAAAAAAGCCATGTACAACTTAATAAAAGTTTCAACACAACGGGACTGCGCTCAACCAGCTATACTCAAAAATAACAAACAGAATAATCGTGGTAATTAAAATCGAAACTCTTTGTGGCCATGCCCATCGTGCGTGTTTATAGAACACAGACTCAAAGTAAGAAAAAACAAACGGTCGAGGAGTTTTCCAGATGAGATGTTCTTCTTACATTAGAGTTGCAAAAGGCAGGTCGCAAATCGCGTGTGCGTCGCGGAGTTGCCTGTGAGAAGCTGGCTAAGACATATACTATTCTTATATGGACACTCAAGATTCAGCACAGGTGCTTTATGAGTGCCACCCATAATCATAATTCTGATTGAGAATGCAACAGCAGATGGTTTCCCTGAAAGAAGAGGAAGTGGCAGAAGAAGTTCTATGTTAAGCGTAGCGAAAAGCCAAAGGAAAACACAAAAGCACGGAAGGAAAACGTCTCAAAAACAGTTTGAAGCAAGCATGAAAATGACGAAAGATCCTTTGTAAGTTGCGCAGGCTGGCGTTTCACCTTAAAGGCTAAGTGGCTCAATATGGGCCCCGGTGTTTCCAAACGCCTAGATTTTCCTGAAAGTTTTGCATGCGAAACCATCGCGGAGCAATCCATTTCTTGGGAACCCACTGCTTCGACTTTTACCTCATCATCGTCTCGCTCACGCTCGCCTTATCTGGTAGCTCCGATAGTTAAGAATGCTCAGCGGAATCCCAGCATATTTTGAATTTCCTGCGAAGACTCCGAAGTGATTATCTTAGTATGTAAACAGGTTAATGGGAAACAGAGCCGGAGACTGAGCTCAATTGTAACTTAAGGGAGCTTCTCACTTTTCATCTACCGATAAGCAAATTATCTTGATTACCATTCATTTTCGCAAGTTACAAAAAAGCATGAGTTCCTCTCAAATATCGGGAACAAGAAACTCACCTTTTTGTTTTGTTTTTCATAAGAGAAAAATTAGAAATCGCCCACAATCAAGCAGCTGTCAGAAGAATGGCACACCACATGTACAAGGACACAAAGCAGGGCCCGGCGGGGGTGCCGCTTTCACAAGCTGGAGATCGTTTTTGGCCCGTAAAAGCAAAGGGAAAGTAAATTTGGGGTCCAGGGCGGAGCCCCGGACCCCAAAATACGACTTCCCCTTTGTTTACCGATAAACAATGCACATCATTCATCATTCCTTGCTGATGCTACTGTCCTATGAACTTAGATTCCAGCAATGTGAAGATTCTGTGCTCCGATCGCTAGCCTGCCCGCAGGCGGGAATTCAAATCGCAATTCTTGTAAGAGGAAAATAACAAAATAGGCTCGTTTTCAATGCACAAGTAACGATATGGCACCAAATTTGCTGTGTAGTTGGAGGACCATGAGCATAAAAAAAAGTATGAAGAATTACGAGAAACTTATGTGAATTTAAAAAATGGTGTTTTTCGAAATTAGGTGGCTCCCGCGCCACCTGGGAGCCACCTGGGGTGGCTCCCTGCTTCCCTTCACATAATTTCCCGGATTTCTTTACATAAATGTGGACTAGGTCGGGAGTATTACTATATGTTCAAATCCGCTTCCAAAACCACCAAGGCACCGCTTCGATACAGCCCCAAATACGGTTCACAGCGTTATGATCGGCCTCGGAAAGCGCGCTCCAATCGCAATCGGTTATTGTAAACTGTAAAGTTTCGCAGCTGACTAATAAATGAATAGTATCTTAGATATATAAACGTCAAAGTTTGTGCAAATCTTGACCCTATGTTTTAATAGATTCCTTTGCGGATGAACCCATTGAGCTGAAACCTTGATGACCCGGGCTGGACCAGGAAAGCCAGGTAGTACTACTATAATGAGCGCTGAGGCCGCCCATCTTATTATTTGTGTATATCTGTTTGTCAGGCTTACGGGGGTCAAAAATAGGGTCAAAGGGGAAGTCGCAAGAAATTTTGGCTTCAAAGGGGATATCGTTTTCAAAATTCTGAAATGCCACCTCCTGGCGGGCCCTGACACAAAGGTACGGTATTGAGCCAGATGTCGGTGAAATTCCGGCAGAATCAAGAGGCCTGATTGTGGGAGAGGAGCAACAAGGTGGCAACAAGGTGATGGTAGAATGATAAGCAAAGACCACTTATACAAATGTTGCTTGCACTGCGATCTGTTCAATAATTCAGCATTACTCTTGCACCAAAGTTGGTTTATAGCTATATCTTTTCTTGTCTTTTCTGGATTAGTCACGGATAAAAACTCTTCCTCAAAGTTTCCTGATGTCTATTTCGTTTAGAATTACATCTCAAATAGTTACAAAAAGATTTGGGCCGTCAAGAAGGACAAATTTCTTCGAGGCACTTATCGTGACTTTTTGCTAGGTCCTCTTTTCCGTCTGCATATTCACTGAGTAGTCTGCAAATTGAAGTCTTTCTACTTTCACTTGCATAAAACACCTGTTCGGAAATGCTGGAATGACCGGCGCGACATGAGGTGTTTCGCATAATTGGTTTCTTTTTCACACACTCACGAATGTTTCAAACAAAGGCACGGCTAAATCTCCTGCACTTCGCTTGGATTTCTCTTGCAGCGAAAAAGAGGGTGAAAGCCGCTGCATGACCAAGCATCAACCATACTCACTTCGGACACTCTTGCAGTCGACTAATGAATTCTGGATGCCTAGCTGCTTATACAGCCGTGTGCATGTCTGTCATCACCATAATCACCAGTATTATCTGCGTTCCTGGTCTCTTAAACAAGATGAAGGAGATCAGACGAAAACTAGCTGTAGATGCAGATGATTTCAATCTCATGCAGGTACGGCCTCTCTAACAAACAAGATTTGATTTCGTGTAGAAGCAAGATCAGATTTAGAGTCAAGGTCTTGCAAACTGCAAATTCTTCTTGTCCATCTGATTCATATTTTTATGGACAATAGTGAAGTATTTCTGAGCAAGCTGTACTGACTTCATAACTCCATATAATTAGTAGTCCAGTAAAACATCAAACGAATGTCAGGTTCCCTTCAATATGGATTCCTAGATACGCTTGGACTACTTATTCATAAAACAGCTATGTAGATATTCCGAAGGATCTGATAGTAGCCATGGAGTGACATAAGCTGAGTGAGCATTGAGTGAGCTCACTCAATGTGTCCATTCAAAACTTCATTTGTTGGCAGCTAAGGAGAATCGAGTGGTGTGTATGTCAGCTAACAATTAAGTACCCTAAAATCTCAAAGATAGTTCTCCCATCAGATAAGTCCGTCTACAAATAAGTTCCCCTTCAGATAGGTCTGCTTTTTTGACTCAGTCAAGGCCCTTCAGATAAGTCTGCCTACAGATAAGTCCGTTTTCTTTCCATCTTACCCTGAACTCTTGTCAGATAAGTCCGAAGACTGTCATATAAGTCCGGTTATTTGTAGGCGGACTTATCTGATGGGAGAACTTCCCTGCAAGATTCTTGGCGGTGTGAGGGCGCATTTTCATCGACTTTTCTCGACAAAAGAGCGGACTTATCTGTAAGATTTAGGGTCTTACAATTACAAGCAAATTATTGCCCTAGCTTTTATGAAAACAGCTTCGAGTCTGTGTATCCATTAATTGCGTCATAAAATGTCAAAAAATTTGAAGTGGTTGATAGAGTACCCTCGCTTTTCAGCGGAATATTATTTCATAATTTCATTTTTTTATTTTGTGTACTGAGGTGAGTCAAAAGCAGAAATGCTTTTCAATGAAAATTCAAAGTTTTGTAATCAATGAAACAACTTAGCTTGTTCTCAAAATATAAACCTTAATCATTTAATTGTCTTGGTTCATTCTCCGCCAATCTTTGGTTTCCTGCCTAGTACCAGTATGCGAATTTTGATTGAAACTTCTTCATTCCAATTTCGGCCTCACTCTAATTTAACTTTTTCCTTACAACAAATGCGTCATCATTCGGAAGAAGCATTATTGTAGGCGCCAAGTCAGACATATTGGGTGGGAAGCAAATCAATCGTACCAAGCATAGATTTTATTTTATTTTTAACCTCTTTCCGCATCTTCCATGATCTTGGCTGAGACCTTAACTTATGTGTTGCTTTCCCTCATCATCATAGTAGGCCGATTTCTCATTGTAGGTCACAATTCTTCTGAAAAATAGAACGATTACCTGTGGGTGCTGCAAGATATTTATGCAGATCCCAACTCTTCAGCGCCATGTTCTTCAACTTGCTCCTTCTAAACTTTGAAAGTTTGTGCAGCTGACGAATGTGCTGGACTAGAAACCGATCTCACTTGACAAGTTGAAGAATTGGCAGGGCTTTCCGTTACCGCGTCGATGAAAATTGCAAAACCTACAGGGCTGGGTACATCTTCTTGGGTATCCCCTTGATCTTCTTGAAGATGTCCTTGTCTCCTTCTGGTACGATTCGTAAGCTTGACCTCGAGACCCTCATTCGATACTTTCTGAGCAGTTTTCTTTGTGTTACAAGTTGCATACAGTATTGGCGGAGAACCGCTTTGATTGCAACACTTACGGATTCCATTCTAAGGTCCCTAATTAGTGCATCTTCATAGGAAAATGAGGAAGCCACCTACCTCTCAGGGTAAAGCACTTTTGAATAATGATATAGAAAAGCGAGAAGCATTCACAAACTTGCAAAAGAGTTTTTATTACTTTTGACTCACCCTAGTATGTGATACAGGACATGACGTACAGTCTTCAATGGAATGCAATAAGATTAGCTTTTTATTCGTAGAATGTCAAGAGATCAACCACTGCATTCCGATGAAACCGGCAAATTTTCCAACAGTTTTCTCTCAGAGTACCCATCATTCACTCAACCATATAAATCAAACCCATTGGTGTTGTTTTGCAATGTTAAAAGCTTATTGAACGTATCTGTCTTTTTAGCAAGAAATATGGTCCGATCTGCAGACAATCCGCAATGAGATTCCTTTGCAAACTGTAAAAAAACGAAACGCTACGGTTGCATGCGGTACGAAAACTTGCTGCATTATAGAAATCGAAGTCATGATGGAAGATTTAGTGTGCAAGTATGGATATTCGTGCCCTCCTGGCGAAAAAGGCAGACCGGGCATTGATGGTTCAAATGGTATACCTGGTCTACCTGGTGTACCGGGCGAAGTTGGTGCTCCAGGTGTTATACCAGGGCAGTCAGGTAAATGCAGAATGTGCCCTCCAGGACCACGTGGATATGCTGGTGTGTTTCTATAGAATCAGACTCAAAGAAACGTGTTTCAGCCTTTGCAGGCTATGTCGGCCTACCTGGACCACAAGGAGCGACTGGCCCTCCGGGAAGTCCAGGTCCAGAAGGTCGTTCAGGCCCTGATGGCTCACCAGGTTTACCGGGACCCTCCGGATCTAAAGGAGAACCTGGCGATGATGGTGAGGAGGGACTACCAGGAATGAATGGAACATTCTACGAAAAAGGGCCTCGTGGACCAACTGGAGTAAAGGGCATGGTTGGACTCAGGGGCTGTTCAGGGATGACAGGACCATCCGGACACGCAGGTCCTATTGGGCCCATTGGAGAGCGAGGACGTGCTGGGGAACCTGGTACTGGTTTATTTTGTACTGTAGTAATAATCTGGTGAAAAAATCGGTTCATTTGCCAGGACAGCGCGGATATCCGGGAGTCGCTGGAAGATACGGAGAGGATGGTAGACCTGGTGAAGATGGTGGATACTGTCCCTGCCCTAATCAGATTAGTGGTGATACAAACTAGTTGATCTGCTATAATGGGAATGTGGCCAACGTTGAGCTTTACAGTCTATTCGATACTTTGTGCGATGGTCACTGAGAGAATATCTTACGGTGCATGTTCCAATTATTATTCTTCCTTATTTAAGATGGAATGCCTCGAACGAAGTATCAGCATAGAATCAGATAGAGCCTGTATTGAGCTCGATTGCGAACCCTTCTCTAAAAGTGAAGTCATGAGATAACGTGATGTTCGCCTTGATATTGTCATTAACAGAACCACTTCTGTTCATCAAAATCTTGTGATATTTTGCAACCTTATAGTACACTTATTCTCTGACATTATTGTATGAAAAGTTCTTGTCGTCTGTCACTGCTTCTATCCTCTTTCTCTTGGTCAGTTCATGATGTATTGTACTCAAACTGGCTATCTGTGCTGTAAAATAGTAAAACTGTCAACTCCATGTCTTTAGCTTCATTAGCAGGGCTCGGCACGAGGTGGCTAGTTGAAAATGCAAAAAACGAAGTCCCCCTTGACTTTTGCGAATTTTCACGAAGTCCCCTTTGACCCTAGACCAGGGCTCGGCACGAGGTGGCGTCCCGATATTGCAAAAAATGAAGTCCCTTTTGACTTCAATGAAATTACGACATCCGCCACGAGATATTCGAAGAAGAATACACGAAAAGGAACGAAACAAAGCAACAGCAGAAAAAAACGAAAAAGAATCATCGAACACACGCAATTATATTTATATTCTCCGGAATGGCGGCATGATGCATCGTGCAGCAATACGCGCCTAGAGCAGCTTTTCCGCGGCCATTCAAAATTTTCAAGGGGCTATAACTAAGCGGGGAGAAGGGGGTTTGAGGCGGTTTAGGAACTAGTTTGTAGGGTTCGGGATGTAGATGAAAAGTATGTAAAGAAAGTGGAAAAATTATGTGAGGGAGGAAAAATTTATGACTTTTTCTTTCCTAAGCCACCTCAGGTGGCTATCCAGGTGGCTTGAAAGCCACCTAACTCCGAAAAAAGTTGAGCACGCCCTTAGTTCACATAATTTTTTCATAATTTTTCATACTTAGTTCTAACTCCCCATTGCCCATCTACACACCTATTTTGGTGTCATTTCATCATCAATTCGCTGTAAACAAACCTTTTGTTTATTTGCTAGCGGCATGCCGGCAGCGTGCCGGCCGCAGATCAAGAGACAACGTTATTCTCTTCCGCAAAAACGATATCCCCTATGCTTTTTCCCCAAAAACGATATCCAGCTTGCTTGCTAAGCCACCTGTGCCGTGCCCTGTTCATTAGCGCAGCTCCGGGTACGCACATTATTGTAATCAAGAAAATGATCGTCCCGTTATCCCATTATTGCTGAAGGGTAGTGCTCCCAAAAAAAAGTGGAGCAACACAGCAGATTTTCTGCTCAATATTGTGCGCTTAAATTTGCGCGTCAATTAGCAATGCTTGCGATGGAGGCGACTTGCGCGCGCGGAATGTCGGCATTACTCGCTTGTGGCTATTTGTTCACGTGCAAATTTGTTCACAAAATCTCTTCACCGCAAACACATAGTGCGGAATACCAGAATAGCCTTCGAGAAACTTTCATTTGAAGAAAAAGATTAAGGGCGGTTATGGTGAAATATGAATGGACTATTTCCGTTGCTAGATTTTGCAGTTAAAAAAAAGTCCGTGGCACGGCCGAGTCGCAGAGTACAACGAAACTCATTCAGGCTTGGTGACTAAAAAGGGAATGCCACGACAAGAAAAAATGCAGCCAAAACCTTGCTTTTGAAGCCATTTTATAAATTGCGAAAGGCCAAAATTTGCTGTGACTGCCAATTTAACTACTTTGCCTAATCGAACTACTACTAGTTTCTTCAGAAACTCTAAGTGCAATGTATCTGCTGCAAACTAAATACTAGAAATGAGAATGCTCAAACAAGTTACGATCGTTGGTGAAAGTTTACATTCACGTTGGCCGCTAGACTTTTCATTTTGTTTTGAATTTTTAACCTGCTAAACTTTGCGCACCTTGGATACTTCACCAAAGTTCCTCCTTAGCATATGTGTCAGGTATCCGAAGTGATACATTCGACACCACAGCCTCACTTTTTTTCATATGAGTTTAATATTTAAAGGCACCGTCCACCCAAAATGGGGTCGATGAGATTTTGGTGCCTAACAATAGCGCGCCCTCAACAGTATACTTGTCCAACTCGCGCTGTCAAAAATTCCTCCGAAGAGAGAAAATTGCTTTGAAAACCGCTAGGTATGAGAATTAGCTACGCTGCTCCTCCCCTTTGATTGGGCATGACGTTCGTTCCGCCCATCCATGCGCACCCAACCAATCACCGTTCCGGAAAACTCGCCCTGCGGGTTCTCGGAACGGGGTTTGTCGCAGCTTTCCCGAATTTTCGACTTTACATTCGGCATCAGGGACATGAGGGGGCCCCGGAACCACAAAACATGGAAGTCGAGAATTTTGGTGGACGATGTTAGCATTGGAGTATGAAAATGGGATAGTCATTCACCTTTATCGCAAAGCATCTTCAACAGTGAAGCGGAACAGCATGACACAGGATCAAGAGCAAGTAAGGCATTTGGACATATGTACAAAAGTCAAAGTAGTAGATATCATGAATGACATTATATCAATCCGTGGTTTATGCACAAAACAACTTATGCTCGTGCTTGCATCTAATAATAAGACAATGACAGTACATGTGCACGATTTAGAAACAATTCTTAGAGAAACGACATCATTACAGCTTATTGCTTTTTTAAGTAAAAATTGTAAAACAAATGATTGTTGAAACTAAATGCTTTGATGTGAATTTGGGTGCAGCATGAAAGTCCGAGGGCTGATAAAAATTTTGAGTTTTGCGCGGAATGAGTATGTGCAAGTAAAGCTGATGGTTGATCGAAACAACTAGGTTCGAGATAATTCAGTTGTGATGCGAACACGAAGGTGACTATGCGTTGTGGGACTTATCCATACTAGGTTGTTCCGTAAGTTCTGGCAGATTTGCTGATTTTCTGATTAAAGTTACAACTTTTCTCAAAATCAACATTTTTAGGCAAATCAAATTTTGTTACATCAAGCGAGCTTAGGCTATCAAAATTACAGTATGCCGATGAAGAAAGCAAGTGAGAGGAAAGAGAAAATTTGGAGAGTTCTGCAAGATTGCCTTCAAGACCGTCTACCATGACTTAGAATAAGGCAACTAAAAATGGGACAGAACTTTTGGAACAAACTAGTATTCGATAATAAACGCACGTCGGTTGCGATGAATGTGTGTCAACGCGTCGGGTGTCACAGAAAACTGGAATTACCTGCACTACTTACATACACATAGAATTTGAGAGTCTCATAGCTGCTTGATGTTCTTAAGATGGAGTAAGGTGCCAAATAAATTCCAGCACATAGAGATAGAAATGAGTAAAAAAAAGTGACTTTCTCCACTTAGGTTTTCTCCGTCTACCTTGTCAAGTCTACTGCCGGACGAAGTCGCAAGAGCAGTACTACTCGGCGACGCGGCGCGTGTAGCTGCACGCGTCCGCCCAGTGAGCGGAATTGCAGACTCCGATTACCTCCTTTTCTCCTGCACACTCGCCGCTTTACCCTCTATTCCACCGGTCTGGCACCTTCGTCGGTAGTATCTTGAGCTTCAGAAGCCACTTCCGAAGCTATGAACGCATTTATCGAATTGAGAAGTGCAGAAGGCAGCATGACCATCTCACAAATGAAGGATACTTGATAATCGTGGAAGTTTGTATTGAGAACTAGGTCGTCCGCGCTGCGCACGGGGAGTAACGCTGTTTCGTCCGTTGACGATATCTCCTGACTGGAGGAAGCGCAGAGAAAAACAGGCGGCGAGAGTGCACGGGGAAAGAGGAGTGATGCGCAATACACACCTTGCGCACTCTCCGCGCCCTGCGCGGACAGCCTATATCAGGGTGGAGGACTATATGTCGCCGAATTTGGAAGAGTCCTGCGCGGATTCCCTGCAGGAACGCATGTCCGCGCATATACAAGGATGCGCATTTGTCGCAAATGACCGCGGGGAACGCTCTTTTTCGGCGACATATAGTCCTCTACCCCCTATATCACTAGATGCGCCTTAGGACGCTTACAAATCTGCTTTCTCTATCTGCTAAACGGTTGTCTAAAATAAACTACGAGCTTTTCGTAGTATAATTTGTGCTCTGTAAGGTATACTCAAACTCATTGATGACTGAGCTTTTTGGCAACTGGCATGTTATTCAAGCTCAAGTGATTTCGTTCTTTTTCAAATGTTGTTCCGATGAGCGAAGCAGGGATAAGCGATGTTTACTGATGTGCCTAAATGGAAAAAGTTTTTATTGAAAAAAGGTCATAACTTACAGAAAATGGCTTAGCACATAGCGAGAGCAGATTTGAAATTAGCTTTTCAAGAAGTCTCTAGTAATATGTGCCTCATTACAAATGGTCATGTCACCAAGTATCCTTCCCTTGTGAGTGATGAAACTTCTCATGTAAAGGATCCATTCACACTTTACTTCGAAATGATTAAAGTGATGACTGAGTGGAAGGACTTATGCCTCCAGAAGGGGATCTCAAACAAGCATCTGCAACACCTTTACGCACTTTCGTGAGAGCTATGCATTTGCTGCATTGTCGGCGAGGACCTCTGCTTTCGGCGAACTATTCCTTAACCTATTTTCTGATCGTTTATGTTCAGTACCACATAACTTTAGCATAATTTGAGACCTCTGTATAGTGGCAAACATGCAAAAAAGCAAGATATAACAGACTCTTCATTACAGGCAAAATCTAAGTACTGTACGCAAACAAGTAATAGTGCCAAAGTAACAAAAACAAATGACAAAATCCATGTATGGAACATATCGTTAAAGTTGGAGTAAATGATTCACACAACATATAAATTGCTAAATGGTCTAAATCATAGCAGTGATGGAGAAGTACAGGTATAGGTCTGAAGTGACACACGGGCATGTAATATGCAAAAATATCAATCTTGATTTTCCGGTTCTCCAAGATACTTTATCATCAAGCGACGCATATTATGCCATTTCCTCATATCGTCAGCATAGGTGCGAAGCATGTGTGAAACTTCGCAGCGACAAAGAATACCTTCGACGGCCAAATCCTGTGAAGAGTAGGTTTGAGAGCTGTACTAGTCCTGTTGCCCTGCTCACTGTCAGTGGCGAGCTATTCAAGGTTAGTAGAGCATACCGTAATGTTTCTGACAGCAATCGCGGAAAGCAATGTAGATTTTAGATTCGTCAATAAATCTACAATGTCGGCAAGAAAATCTGGATCGAAGAAATTATGACGGCTCAGACGCCACACGACTGTCTAAATGAAGAATAAGATTTTGAAGCAGACTTTAGTTGATGTTTTCGCTAGATGCTTCGCTGTGGATAATAGAGATCATTACACAATTATGTTTATTCCATAATCCATAGAATATTTTGCCTTATAGAAGGAAGTCTTGTTGCTGAACGCGCTAAGGTATTCGACAGTCTAGTAGATTTCCCACTCAATATAGTGCGCTCGCGCTGTTGAGAAGTTTGCCCGTGAACAAATACAGTCTGTCCCAATCGGGATGAGGCCGAACTGTCGCGTAAAACTGCGCGCTCTCCGCGCCGTGTTTTCGTCGCCTATGCACACTGTCGGACAAAGCGCAGAGATTGGAGAGAAAGCGACAGTCACGCCGCAGACGTGACGCAGAACACTAACGACGCGTACTCCCGCTATACCAATTTTGACCTGATTGGGATTGGTACAGACTGTAGCTATACCTGTAATGCCGGCCACCTGCGCGTCTACAGGCCGCCAGTACAAGCGTGGTTATTTGCTCGCGCGCAAATTTAGCGCACAATCTTGGCACCGCAAGTACACTTAAGCGGAGATTGTATTAGACTGCACTAATATAGCATATATATGATCCTCAGCTAAATTCACTACAAGCGCACAAGAAAATCAGCGATGCTGCAAACGCACCAGAGGACGGATTCGGAAGCTTCAAAGCCAATAAACACTCACAATCAACGTGTTAACATTGGTATCAGCTGGCAAGAAGATGTCACGGTTTTCGTTGAAATTGTCGAAATCGATCTTCTGAAAAGCGGTTTGCAATTCTGGAGTTTCGAAGATCAAAACCGACATCTAGAAACAGAGCCTCCTTTTCCTTGAGCGCTTCGACAGCTTCGATGAGATCTATAGTCAAGATTCTATCCTGCTCAAGGAGTCTCACAGTGTTGTCTATGCAATTTCGAAGTGGACGACTGCATGGTAACTTGAATGGGCAGCCTGCAACCCTCCTCTCGCCTTGCATACCGGAGTTCGGAACTGGTACAGCTGGGAACGGACCTGGAAAACAAGACCTAAAAAAACAAGCAAAGCTCTCTGATTTTTACAGCCTTTCCGGCTCGTTGTATATTCAACGATTACAATGAATCCGAGATAGATGACCCAAAGATATAATTCAACAATCTTGTTCGAACTTCGTCTGCGGCTTTAGCACGCTGAACGTTGAAATCACAAATATGCTGCATAATAGCGCCACTGATGGAGTTACGGTAGGTACGGTAGGCGGCAAAAATCACGCATCTGCTCGAGACTCCGTCTACAGCGCTTACAGTGAATATGTATAATATCAATTTCACACCGTGAAGCCATTTTATCGTGTTACGGTGAGTAAGTGGCTTGATTTTTCTGATTTGTTAATTTGTCTAAAAGGGTTTTCAAGGCTTGCTGACTGAAAATCATGCTCGTTCGCTCAATAACTCGTTACTTAGCTTCGTATGATTGATAAATATAAATAAACACCTTTTACACTTTCCAGAGGAGGATTCCAGAAATCCATGAAAAGGCCGTATCAAGTGAGCGGAACAGGACGTCAGATTACTTCCCCAGAAAATTTCAAGCAGACTTAGAAATTTCGTCTCAGTATAACCATCATTACTCCTTGGAGAGACCCCCGCAAAATGAGTATGATGTTCGTAATCAGCATGCTTACGAATCCTTCTAGGCATATTTCTAAGTAAATTAGTAGTTCTAAGTACATTCAACCTTTGACCCATCTACCGTTGCACCCTAACCTCGAAAAATGGCGCTAACGTGCAAAATTATTGTGTTACTCGTGATCAGCATTCCAGGGGTAATCCTCTCTCCCCCTTAACGAAATTTTAGCACGATCCACGATGATTTTTTAGGTGAAATAACGTGGATTACATGCTATCCCATGCGCTGGATCGAACAGTATCCGAACCCTAGTCGAGACTGAAATGTGATGTTTCGATTCTCCGGAACCACAGGCCGAGGATGCCTATGAACTATCTGTGGAAATTACAGTAGATGCCAAACCAATACAAGGCGTAAGCCTCGATAAGAGGCCCCACACTATTTCGTTTTCTACGCATGTTTTGTCTATATTATTATATTATTATATGAAACGAACCAAAAATTTGAGAATGCAATTTCTTACGCCAAATACATTCTAATTGTTTAAGCAGATCGAGCGACAACTGCCTCACAGCTAGCATTAATACAATGCATTCAAGGAAGCCAGCGCCGCGCAGTGCAGTCACACATCGACGCGAAGCGCTACCGTACGCAGCGTGCAGGGACCATGCTGCGCACAACGTCGCGGACCTTGTTTTTATCATTGTATCTCTTAATTTTCCATTTTTGTAGCATCGGATTGTCATTTTTCTTGCTTCTATGCTCATATGCGGCGATCTGTCTTGGTACCGGACATGATTTTTTTGCAGCAAAGGAAAGGGGTATCAAACCTTTGAGCGTTTTTCTTCATGACATCTTTCAGTTCATCCAGGCCTTCTTCGGATGGCTGATTCCGGATGTCATGAATCATTATATCGACTCGTGTTTTAGCGGACATTATCGTATAACGTTTAGGTTTGAGTGAGCAGTGCCAATGAAAATGCATTCGCTCAGACTGTTCTTTCAACCTGTACGATATATGATTACCCCTCAAATATTCAACTTCAGCTGAGGAGGAAAAGCACCAGTCGTTCGCACAATTCTCAAATGAAATAATTTAGATTACATCTTTTTTAGACCTTAGACCTCCAATTGTCTTCCGTTCGCGCGGTGATACTTTGAGAGAACTGAGAAAGTACCAAAGTAGAGTTTCAAACAGGGAAAGTCAGAAAGTTGGAAGCAGGACGGCGAATAAGCTAAGAAAGAAGCAGGAAGAGTAGCTAAAAGTGTTACCGTGGGCTGCAGCGTGCAAGGACCATGCCGCGCAAAGCGGCACGCTGCAGTCCACGCTAACGCTCGCGCACCTATGTGTGACTGCACTACGCGGCGCTGGCCCCGTCAAACGCATTGTATGTCCGTTCATCGCCCACCGCTGGCCAGGTTGGCTGAAACTTAAGGGATCGGCCATACTATTCCTGCTATTCCTACGACTCCTGCGACTCCTGCGATTCCTGCGATTCCTGTGAGTCCCGCACAGTTTAGACGACGCTTAAATGAGCGCGTGTTGCGTAAAACAACACGTAACACGCAACACGCGCTCATTTAAGCAGCGTATAAACTGTGCGGGACTCACAGGAATCACAGAATCGCAGGAGTCGTAGGAATAGCAGGAATAGTATGGCCGATCCCTAACTCTCCAATACTGTCCCCCCGCCCTCCTCACCTTTCTTGGGAGCGAGTTCTGCCGGCAGGATTTTCCTACAATTCAAAATGAGACAGCATATTGTTGATTAGACAGAATCGACTTTCTAACATTTTGTCATCTAGGCGTTCTCGCATTCAAGATAGCCTTGCTGAAGATGGCACGAAGGTTTCACCATGAGATTTTGAATGGTGATACATGCGAATTATCACATCTTGAAGACAACAACCTTTTTACACATGGACAGTTCGCACAGACAACATAAAATCGGAATGTATGACAGTTCGTTAAGTACGTCGAGATCGACAATCAAAGTAGATATCGGTAATTTTGGGATAGCGTGTATACGTATACGGGTGCTAGCAACTGAATAATCCATTTTCAACAATTAAGCATGAAAAAAAAACAATACTATTACCATCTGCAGCATCAGCGCTACTGTCAGCAATCGAGCTAATTGCAGCTCTTATGGCTTCCACCTCCCACTCATCAAACTGTAATGACAACGTACAACAGGCAAAAAAACGAGCTAAAAGGGTTTCGACGTACATACCTGTCGCGCGAGCTCACGCAGCTCCGCTTCTACCCTAACACGATGGTCACACCATTCAGGGAGTATCGCCTTAGCTTTATCACGCTGTTCTACATATGAGCGGAGCTCTTCCATCTGTGGTATTGGAGGACTCTGAGGCGAACAAGAACTGAAAAAAGCAAAATGACAAGAACAGCATACACTTCTACGACTGCATCCATCTCCCGATAACCTCAGCGAAATCTTGTCGCTTCAATCTGACGTTCTAAATGCCACGGCTTAACGCAAAACAATCGCAAGATTAACTGCTTCAAGCGGCAAGTTCATCCGCCACTTTAGGGCAAGCAGACTTTCATGGCACTCCATCAATGCAATAACACATCTATTTCAAAACATAAGGCTGAAAGAAGGTAAGCTATTTTGCCTTTCCATCTTGATGAAAATTGCGAAACACTTTCGACACAAAGGCGCATGACAAAGGACGTTGTGACTGCTTTGCCCTTGCGCATGCTACAGTATCCCAATCAAAAATTCAGAAATTCACTTTGAGTTGGATTCTTTAGCGGGAGTTCCTAGCGTGGTCTCAGCTAACCGACTAAGACTTATCCACAAAGTTCGGCAGTTACTATGTCGTTGCTTACATCTACAATAAACGTAGTGACTGATATATGGTAGCACAAAACTCACATAGTTTAAAAACAACATTTCAAAGTTCACATCTCTCTCTCCCTTACTGCTCTTCGCTAATATGCAGAAACTTGTAACTTGTACGGCAGATTTTCCGACCCATAACGGAAGTTCCTTGGTTAAAATTGAAGGGAGAACTTCCATCTTATTTGCTTTTTGTCAGATTGTACCCAAAACTTTTTAGGAAAACCCCTGCTGGGTCTTTTCTGGGAAGTGTGACCGAGAGAGGTTCAACTGAATGAAGCAGATAAATTAAGAAAACCCTACCCTGATTTCAAGAGGTGATACGGCTGAGGGTGTACAGGCCAAAATCCAATTGCGCACGCGTCGCTATGAACACCAACGCGCGGGACGGCTGGGAACAGTGGGTCCTGAAGCGCTATGGATGACAATGAGCGCACACTCGTATCGCACATATTTTTTTAAACTTTTGGAGGAAGTTTTGGTGAAAACATGTTTTGCATTTTTGAAAGCAATATGGAATCTGACAGGAAATTTCATGGAAAATTGGCTCGCCTATAGTCATCCGCTACGACCGCTCGCTTACGCTGGTGTTCAAGGGACGGCGCGGACAGTTAGATTTTACAAGGCCTATGGGTGGCACGCATAAGCAAAGGCAAACACTATTGGTCTTGCGAAGGATGTGAGGGATGTTTTGCACTTGTGTGATTAGGGATTTCATACACTTATCACATCTCTAGCATGCTAACCGCTGGAGTGAAGGCGAACCACAATGTTTTGGCCCTGTGAGTGACAACTTCCAGTGCCAAGAAATTCCGGACTTCTGCTTAGTATTCTTCACCCTACACTTTCAAAATTACAAAAACTTCGTATAAAAGGCGAAATATCATATTCATTAAGCGTGCGGCGCAAACGGACCATGCAGGCCGTGCGCATGCCAACACGTCCGTATACCAAAAATACAGGGTGTCCCAAAAGTAAGTACACACTTTTCAATCGTCAATATCTCTCTTCCCAATGGGTCTTTTCTTGCCATTCAAGTGCCATTCTGTAGAGGAGGCTTCAACTTAGATTTACAGTATTGATCGAATCACCGATTGCTCTTCGTTACTGTAGGATTACGGTAAGAATTTCCAGCATGTGGAATCATCGTGAAATATGCCTTCTGACAAAATTTTTTCCAAAAAATCTGAAAATTTGTGCACTAGGGTTTTCGCGCACGCTGATTCCACTATACAACTTTTTATGAGTGTTTTCAGCTTCTTTAACGGTGTAACCACATTTCTGACAAATACTGAGAATTCGGTTATTACGGCTTACCTGGGATAACTTGGGAAAGAAGCATCATAGTAAAGTGGGAATTTCATATTCGGGTTCAGCGGCTTCCATCACCATAGTACAAGGGTTTTTGGCTTGTTTGGTTTTGTTTCGAGGCAGAATGTGGCTTCCAATGGCCTAAAATCCTTGTCGAAGTTTCTACAGTAACCCCACAGTAATGAAGAGAGATCGGTGATTCGTTCGATACTTTAAATCTAAGTTGAAGCCTCCTCTATAAAATGGTGTTTGAACGGCGGAAAAAGACACAGTGGAAAGAGAGATAGTAACGGTTGAAAAGTGTGTACTTACTTTTGGGACACCCTGTATATCAGTTATCTTATGGCACAGAATTAAGAAAAATTCTTTGCAGACGACAAACATGATCCCTGTTTGATCAGATCACATTTAGTCTTTGGCCTATCGCAGTTCGGTTATTTTCATCCAGCGAGCTTGGACATTTTCCCGTTTTATGGTCCAAGATCGATACGACAATTTACGGTCTTAGATGAGAGCATGATCGTTCAGCTTCTGGATCATGACATTCAACTATGCTGTAGCACAAGAAGTACGGTAAGTATAGCGCAAATCACTAGGAAGTTCGTAAAGGCAAGGGCTCATTACTAATGTCAAACTCTACAATCATACTTTGTGAAGAGAGAATCTTCGGAAGGACTTGAACTTGCATGATAAACTTGCGATGGGGGCGCCATCTTTTCCATCATTTAAATGTGCAAGAAAGGTTCCAGGTTCCCTATTTTAGGCATTATATACTTGATTTCACTAATCTGTATAGGAGACTTAATATACTAAAAACGAACATCTTTTTTTTATTATACAGCACTGTAGGGAACCATACGCGTTTGCTTTCTAAGAAATTCGCAAACGTAACCACGCTCCATACGCGTATGAGGAAAAGAGTGATATTCATAGTTGTTCCCAAGCTATGTTGCACAAATTCAAGTCAAAAACTACTGCACAAATCACAACGAGAGTAAGTCAGTTCACTGATGAGCATCCACGAAAAACATTATTGCAGATTTCATTCATTTTGATACCTGCAATCAGCTGAAAGAGAATTTTGATTTTTGATGGAATCGATTTTACCCTGGATAATATGCAAAAGAGATTTGACATTGTAGTGTAGATTTTCCTCATATTATAGTGTGCCTATGGTGCCGAAAAAAAATTGTGCGAAAATTTGTGCGTGAACAAATAGCTACTGTGCTTATCAAATGCAGAGTCGGGTATAGGCCATCCGCGCAGGGCGCGGAGAATGATCAAGATGTGTATTGCGCGTCACCTCTAGCTGTTTTCTCTGCGCTTCTTCCAGTCGTGAATTGCCTTCAAGTACGCAACAGCGCTGCTCTCCGTGCGCAGCGTGGACGGCCTATACCGCATCTAACAAGGAGAGGATATTTAGTCGAAAGCACCAATCCAGATGGGACACATATCATCTTGAAGCGCTTGAAACGCTGATTCCAAATCTGTAGTTTTAAGCAGCGGAGCGGTTTTGTAGAAGGAGTTATGGGGGGTGTTTCCTTTTGGGGTTGAGGTGCCCTCCAGTAGTTCTCCCCTTATCTACAATACCGCTCACATTTTTTTGAAAATAGACGCGAATGTATGGACATGTATGGACATGTACGGACATGTCCATACATGTATGGACATGTCCATACATTAGCGTCGCGTGGCCATAACTAGCTTCAGAGTGGACGAATTCCGAATCCAAAGCCACCATTCGATTCAGCTCGGCGCGGAGAATCTTCAGATATATTGGAAGTGGGGGTACGATGTCTTCGATACTCGGTTTCCAGTTTTTTCAATATGTTCTGCGGAGGTCCTTTCGCGAATATGTGAAACAACGCCTACCCAACATAGAAGACTTTATTGAGAACTATTCGATAATACTGTTCTTGTAAATTATTGTGCTCCAAAAAATAGGCTCAGACTTCTTTCCAAAGGAGATAGAAGCGTTGGTGAAGTTTGGAAAAATCACGCGTTTTCAAATTCTACCCGCCATAACTTCCTTCGAAATAAGTATATTCTGAATCCGAAAGTAGCGCCTTGCTCAGCTCATCAAGGCGAATCTTCCTATATACAGCATGTCCTTGATATTTCGATTTCAATATTCTTGAATCTTTCTGAGGACGTCTTTTCGCGAAGGTGTAAAGCAGCGAGCATTGTCCCGAGTACATTCCAGCAAGGATATTTCGAAAGCACTTTTTCTGTAGATTATAAAGTGCTAAACAGTAGCCGCAGGTATCTTTTCAAAGGGAATAGAACGGCTGGTGAATTGTGGAAAAATCTTGTCGTCCCAAATTCTACTCGCCATATCCGCAGGATACGAAGCTATCTTGCTAAGCAGATGTGAGTTCCGAAATCAGCAGGTCGCATAACCTCTACGAGCAAGTTTTCCGATATGTTCGGGTTATTTCATTTTTTCTAGTTTTACGCTCTGGAATCTCGACGATGGATTTTGGTCAAAATGTTGATGCTCTTGAATTGTAAGGAAACTTCGCTTATATAGGTTTTCGAGCACGCTCTTTACGAAAATCGTGGTCTTTGAGGATTGCAGGGTCCTTTTGGAGAGATACGGTGAGGTGACTGTAACTGCATCACGAAAGTGCGTAACTTCGCCCGCACTTCTCGCGTATCTGTCAGAAACCTTGCCTGCTTGCTTTTCTCAGTCAAAGTTACTGGGAACTGTGCTATCGAATGGTGCATGACTCAGGCTCCAGTCTGTGAAAGCCGAGTTACGAGCCTACGAATACACGTTCTCATGAGTTTTGCCCAAAATGTAAAGATCGCATATCTCGTCGAAATTCCTCCGTGAGCGCTTGTACAACGCGCTGATCAAATCCTTCCACATTTTTAATGGATCTTACTGTTTTAGATTTGGTGCTTTGAGCTCTAGCCACGAAATAGCTTTGATATTCAATTGAGCAACTGAAGCAGACGCAAGCACCATATTCAGTATAGTGGGAGTCGTTCGACGAAGCGAACATAAAATCTGCAACGAGCGTCATACAAGCGCTCACGGAGGAATTTCGACGAGATATGCGATCTTTACATTTTGGGCAAAACTCATGAGAACGTGTTTTCGTAGGCTCGTAACTCGGCGAATTTCACAGACTGGAGCCTGAGTCATGCACCATTCGATAGCACAGTTCCCAGTAACTATGACTGAGAAAAGCAAGGTTTCTGACAGATACGCGAAAAGTGCTGGCGAAGTTACGCACTTTCGTGATGCAGTTACAGTCACCTCACCGTATCTCTCCAAAAAGACCCTGCAATCCTCAAAGACCACGATTTTCGTAAAGAGCGTGTTCGAAAACCTATATAAGCGAAGTTTCCTTACAATTCAAGAGCATCAACATTTTGACCAAAATCCATCGGCGTGGTTATGCGACCTGCTGATTTCGAAACTCACATCTGCTTAGCAAGATAGCTTCGTATCCTGCGGATATGACGAGTAGAACTTGAGACGACAAGATTTTTCCACAATTCACCAGCCGTTCTATTCCCTTTGAAAAAATACCTGCTGCGACTATTTAGCAAATGATAATCTACAGAAAAAGTGCTATCGAAATATCCTTGCTGGAATGTACTAGGGACAATGCTTGCTGCTTTACACCTTCGCGAAAAGACGTCCTCAGAAAGATTCAAGAATACTGAAATCGAAATATCAAGGACAGGCTGTATATGAGAAGATTCGCCTTGATGAGCTGAGCAAGGCGCTACTTTCGGATTCAAAATATACTTGTTCCGAAGGAAGTTATGGCGAGTAGAATTTGAAAACGCGTGATTTTTCCAAAATTCACCAACGTTTCTATCTCATTTGGAAAAAAGTCTGAGCCTATTTTTTGGAGCACAATAATTTACAAGAACAGTATTATCGAATAGTTCTCAATAAAGTCTTCTATGTTGGGTAGGCGTTGTTTCATATATTCGCGAAAGGACCTCCGCAGAACATATTGAAAAAACTGGAAACCGAGTATCGAAGACATCGTACCCCCACTTCCAAT